TTAGTTTAACACATGATTAGATTTGTAACATCCAGATTATAATAATACACCCCTTCTTTGGAGAATTTCAAAATGCTGTTCTGCAGTCAGGCAAGCAATCTGTTCACTTGACAACAGAAGAGTATTTCAAATCTAATACAAACACAATAAAACAAATGGCCAGTTCCTGAACTCTACTAAGAATAAACTGAAACAAAGGCATTTTTACCTAAAGAACATGGATACATTTTGGTGCAAGGTGAATGCTGGGCTGTACCATTCAAGTGGAGAAAAATTCACCTGCACATAGTAGACTACAATCCACATTTCCACAGATCACAGAGAACACTACTTGGGTTACAAGGGTCAATATTAATTGGTTAGTGATACCAGCAATTCCTGTTTCACCAGTGAGAACCTCCCCACACATTCAAAATGCAATAACGCCTCTAAATCACCACTGACTTCTACAATACCTACACACAAGCCAACAAAGCAAAGCACTCGGCTTCATGTAATGCCACACACGTGAAATAAAAGGAAGACTAAAGATTGAGTCTACAGTTTTGTCACCAGCAAGCATCATGCAAGCACTGATGAGACAGTCTGGGACCACAAATAACAGCAGGACCTATGATTCCACTAGAAACCTTGTTACAGACTTCAGGGCTAAATTCCCCAGGCAAAGTGCTTCTACCTTATGAGACAAGAAATTGATTCTCACCTGTTTACCTGAGTTAAGACCCTGTACAGTTTAAAAGTAAACACTGAAGACATTTTGCTCATTATCTTTTCTAACAATTTAATTTTTGCCTGTATGGAAGACAAGTTTCCAAACTGAGGATTTTCTGGATATTATAATGCAACTTTCGGGACTTTCTTAAGAGACCAATCCCATCAAAGCCTGTTTTGATAAGAAACTTCTGAACAAGACTTTCAGATTCCAGATCCGTTAAAAACAAACAAATTTAATTTTGCCCTTCCCAACTGCTACGCTGCCCAACCTCCCACTCAAGCCACAAACTGAAGACTGAACTTGGGGTCCTGACTCAGATGCAAGTCAGATTTGCACCAGGATGCATTACCAGGCCTGGAATAGAAGATTATCTAGAGCAACATTTACAAAGCAACTCCACCGTCTTCAAAAATTTGGAGACCATTTCTAATGCCCTTGAAGTTATCTCAGCACACTTGTTCCTCCAGGACTAATAAACCAGAAGTCCAACATTTTTATGCATCAACATTAACACACAAAACAAGTGAGGGGCTCAAATGACTTAACCGGTGATTTTTACTAAATGCACTGGAAGAAATTCCTATTACAGTACTATTATACATTAAGAACAAGCCATTGATGTCAGAGTAGATTCTGGTATTACTATGAAACATCCAGGAACCATATTTACAGGAAAACAAAATTTATAGAACATTCTAACTTCAAGTAAAATATCCAGTCTTCATCGCGGATACATTTGGAGAAGTGCTCATGCCATTACTTTGGTCATCTCAGAAGTATTAACATAGCATTCAAGCCCCTACCACCAACACCCCACCTGTATCCCTTTGGTCTTACAAGGCAATAAGGAAGCCTGTTTCCCATCTTGTTGTGGGCTGGCATTGGCTAGACACTTGGTACTCCCTGATCCGCTTTATCATTCCTCTTCTCAGCAGGAAAAGATCATGGAAAAAAAACTCATGGGTCGAGACAAAGGCAGCTCAATAAAGCAAAGGTCTCATAGAGAAGCAAAGGACAACAAAAAACTTACTCCCTACTTCCCAGTGGCAGGCATGCCCAGCCACTTCCCAGGAAGTAGGGCTTCAGTAGTAAGCAGAGTGGTTTCTCCAGAGCACAAATGTCACAGTAAGTGGCACAAAGCTCTGTAGAGAGAATGGAAACTTCCTCAACATAAATGTTTCATATCTTACTGGACTTGAAAATACAAAAATCCTCTGGTTAAACAGACAAGTGTTTAAGTTATGTATGCTGGATATGTCAAAACAGGTACTAGTTGGCTTCGTAATAATAAGCATTTAATACTGCAACACAGCTGTGTTGGACAAAGTAATAACATTTACTCATTTTTTACATATTTCAAAGCTTCCAAAATGCTTCAGCTGAAGATACAACATAATTTACCTTTTATTAAAAGGTCCAAAAAGTAAAACATACATGAATTTTTTCAAACTGAAGAGAGCTGGACTGAAGACAGGTAGAAGAGGTGTTTCTACAGATGTAATCACTGCTGCTACAGTACAACAACAGTGACAGCCGTATACATGCACATGTCAAATGCCAAGCTAAATCCAGCCTGTAACACTCACTATGTTTTGAAATAGTTTGTTACAA